ACCACGGAAACGTCTGAGCTAACATCTCTACAGTTATCACGAAGATGTTTGAGCTAACATCTCTTCAGTTACCACGGAAACGTCTGAGCTAACATCTCTACAGTTATCACGAAGATGTTTGAGCTAACATCTGTTCAGTTACCACGGAAACGTCTGAGCTAACATCTCTACAGTTATCACGAAGATGTTTGAGCTAACATCTCTTCAGTTACCACGGAAACGTCTGAGCTAACATCTCTACAGTTATCACGAAGATGTTTGAGCTAACATCTCTTCAGTTACCACGGAGGTATTAAAGTAATATATGGGCATTGAGTCTTGTACTATTGTGAAATAGCATAGAAATGTTACCAATAATCACTGACTCTCCCTGAATTATGTTACTGAACTTCTCTTTGCTTTTCAGAATAATCACAATTCTTTTTGCGTCTGGTTATAACATGCGATGATATAAATAAAGTATTTAAGTAGCTCGTCAGGAATTTTCAATTTCCAGGATTTGTGTTGCCAAGTAGAATTCTGTGACACTACTGTGTATATTTTTAATAAGGCTTTCAGAAATTTATACTTACCTGACTATTGCCAAAATGTAACAACTCTCTATGTATATAAAGCATAAAAATATGTGTGCCTGTCTATTTGTCTCTCCGTCCGTTATCTAACTACTCCTAAGTCGCTGGGCCAACCTCAACCCAACTTTGTGGGAAGATAGTTTGGAACAGAGGTATGTTAATGAGAGTTAACACCCCCTCATTATTGCTGTTGTTGAGAATTTATTATATTTGACGTAATTTAACGTTAACTACATTCACTGATGGCGCCACGTTCTTGCACACACAAAAAAATCGTTACATTTTCTATAACACAACATACACAAAGTGTAGGAAGAGGACACAGAAACGTGGAGGAATGCAATGAAAAAAATGGCTGCCTTTATTGCAATAATATATAAACTGAGTTGAAGTTTCTACTCCAACAGCCACCATAAAGCTGATATGAAAAGCCGTTTCTTCTACGGCTAATGACATTAAGAGTTAGGTGTTGAAAGCGGGTAACAGAAAGCACCCCTACCGCCACTCTTTGGCCGCTACCTCTTAACACAAAGTCACCCTGACCATCTCACAGTATATACCATGTTTTAAGTATATACATATTGAGTTCTTAAACCATATATAAAACTTTGTGTTATTTATCATAACACCACCACCCCCACACACACACACACACTATTTTTTATCTTCATAACCCGGACAAAGGACGGGTACCTCAGCTTGTATTATATCTGAATTTTATAATTTGAAATAAAATTAACCCAATTGGTAATGAGTATTTTATGTGATATTTGTAATTTTATATGATATCTGTATTTATATCCGATATTTGTAATAGATATTTTATGTGATATATATAACATAAAAGAAAAACGCCTACTATTACACTTTAGAATTTTCAAGTTTGATTATTTTATGCATATCGTTGGTGATTGTCGCTGAAAATAAATTTTGCAGTTCGAAGAAAAGGCCTCTGATGAGGCACCCACGACAAAGTAAAACTGGAGCAGTGCGAATGTTTTACTCATACTAAATGTATTACCCGGAGTGTTCTTTAATGTTATATGCCTTGTCATGAGTAAAATTATTTGTTACGAGGCTTTCACGGTAGTTGTCTTTCCCTTGATTTACTATTTTGATAACATAGACTGCATCTGATTTGGTGAGGGAAAAATTATTAATGACAAAATTAATAGTAGATTATATATTCATTTTACAGAAGCACCAGGAGAATAATTTTTTTAAATGTCTCTTAAAAATGTCTATTTCTTAAATAAGTTAGTTTACCGAGCCACTTAACAACTGTTGTATATTCACAAATTTGTTTAATGACAAACAACATTAGTTCCTTCTTGTCTTACGAAAGTCAATTTGACTCTTACTTTATTCGGTTTTATCTAGATTAATGTCTTCATATGCACGTGCAATTGTTTTATTTATTCTCTTCCATGGACCCGTACACAGACAGGTGTTTGTTTGTTTTTTTGTGCTTTAATTTTTATGCAGGGACCTTATTAAAACATATATACATCAGAAGTCGCTGACCGATTTAAGTACAGAAATCAGGTCAATCTCCTCTATGAATCTTTTCTGTCAGAGAGCATTCCTGTGTCGGTGCTAGTTCATAGGGAAGCGTTAGGTCTTCAGCTACAAACGAATTGTGCTACCAGAAATAATATTCAGAAATTTGTACTAATTTTAGTTACTGTTTTAAATTGATAGCACCTGAAAGATCAAAGTGTTGTCTTGTTGAACCTGTTGTTTGTTATTAAATAATCTTTACTTTGGTCGTATATTTACACCATTCTACATGTACATGTGTTCTATTCGGAGCATTAAATCATGGAGTGATAACCTCAGAAACGGAGGTTGCTAAACGAGTTCTTTGAAGGATTATTGGAACATTTCTAATGAAAAAAAAAATTAAGAATTAAATAATGGATCATTAGGATATGATTAAGGTATCATTTCGGTTTCTTATATCAAAAGAAATAATAATGATAACATAATAAAACTATTTATACACAACGTTTGGCAAAGTGGAATTCCGCGTTTATGAAACAGGTTGTAAAAGCCCAAAACTCTTTGACTACAAACCTTCTAAAACTAACTTTTTAATAAAACATCAAGATCGGTTCATTGTTCTGTGTGTTTTAATTCTCACATATTAAAATTGTTAATAAGAAATTGTGTAATTTTTTAGAATTCCTCGGGACAAACAATACTTTTAACATGTTTTTATTTATAATAAAACATATTTCTTAAAACAAAACTGTCTGTATAAAATCAGTTGATTTTATGGCGAAGTAGGTTGTACATCAATGTTATTCCCTGTAGTATTGATGGAAAAGGACAGGAAAATCTACTGCTTGTCCTGAAGATGGAGGAGTTGGTTCTTGGAAAACATGAAAAATTTACAAGACAAAGCTTAAAATGATTTCTTTGAAAGCTAGTCAAAATTAAAAAAAGATTTTTTATGAGATACTTCATGAAAAGCATGAACAGCAGAAAGGAATCAGAAACTTGTCTAACACGAATCTTCCCATCGGATTCAGGCTCACCAAGGATCGAGCTACAAACTTCTTTGGACATTCTTGGCATTCCCTTCTAAAACACAAAAAACATCGTAAATTAAAACTATTAAAAATCCTGATATTCTGAATATTCGGTGATTTAAAATTTCATGTAGTTTTAAATATAGCCGCATTATCATAATAAACAGCAGAATAGACAGTTAAACAGTGAGGAATAATTTGGTATTGTCGTATTTAAGAGTGACACGTATTCAATACTCACTACAACTTTTAAGCTACAAATGTTCAATCTTTTTAAGAAGGTTTTCTTAGAGTCAGACTGTTTTGTATGCAAACATAAAATTACTTTTAAAACTTCAAAGAAAAATAACAACCATTTCTCTCGCGTTTGTGTTTAATTATTGTAAGGGCCGTACTGATGGTTTTCAGTTGTCGTAAAGCAGATATGATATATAACTGAACATGTTTTAAAAATCCTTGTTGCATTGTTGACAATAAAGTTAGGAAAAAACGACATTTACTCTCCAGATAATAATAATAAATTTTTTATTTGAGCCAACGTTTCGTCATTGAGGCTTCATCAGGGCTAGTAATTATGCGATTTATGAAAACTCATCTTGCTATAAATCTGTACTGTCAACCACCTATTCTACGATGCTTCAAACCACGTGATCCACCACAACCTATATACAACTTTACTTTAATTTTGAATTTACTTGATCCATAAAATAGCGGCATCAGCTGGTGAAGCCAACGCTATATAACTCTATTTCTGTGCAGCCTTTACTTCTCTGACATTACATTATCCAAATTAAATAACGCGTAGGAGGTTAAAGCTGCCAACAAAGGGCTTGTTCTATAATGTTGGAAGTTGTAAAAACCTACAGACAAATAAGAATCAACACAAACCATTTTTGTATTACTTCCTTAACTTTTTCCTCTATCCACCACCAGGCGCAACAATACATTCAACAACTCAATATTTTTCTACAATTCTTGTATTTCCTCTATAACTGATTGATAGTCTTTTAACGCCACCGGTTTCAGCTACTTAGTTTTTCCACAGTGCAAGGTTACTTTTTTTGTCAAAATCCTAAAGTTAACCTTTTTTACACAATGACAAGATGTTAAACTGCAACTGCATGCACCTTACCGATGACGAAGCAGTTTTAAAACTTATAAACATCATCTGCTTTTGTATATAACACTGACAATTCATTGAAATTTGCGACCCTTTGAGTTATCACATCAGCTTCAAATGTTATGCACAAGGATCGAAATTTTGGCCATAAACGCTAAATTGTGAGCCTAAAGCACACAAGCTTTGTGCGAAATCGGATATAATGACAACAGTTTTTAATCATTACTCCTAACGTTTCGAGAGTTGAAACATGTGTGTTACGATCGCGCTAAACTCGCATTTCATTTTCCCTTCTTATGTACATCAACTTTACTTACGTTGTATTTTTTCCTACCAGTAATTGTCTCATACCATTTTAAACGTAATAAATTGCTGTTTATTACTGGTAATCAATAACTCATAGAACTAGAAATAGGTTTTGTTTCTTACTGGCAGCATATTACTTTGTTCCTTCGCCTCTATCGTATATTCGTTCTCTCTCGCGTCTCCTGGTTCTCTTTTTCTTTTCGTTGAACTCCTGTATTTTGTATCCCTTTTCAATCCCACGCCGAACAAGTACCTATCTTTCTGGCCATTAATGTATTTTCCATAGGGGGTCTTGTAGCCCCCATACTGATTGAACCTAGAAAGGCTGCCCCCTATACCCGATCACTCCAACAACTTTCTAATGATTTAGAGTACTGTAATCCCCTAATTTCATAGAGTCTGACCAAAGGACGGGCCGCTTTTTTTTTTACACACTCTCAACTCCAACCGATGTTCCTAAGACCTAACTTCGTGACATTATGTAGTGTAAATATAGTTTCTAAACGCTTGAATACAAAACGTACAGTGATACGAAAAATTTTTGTCATTTTTATTTTAACCACAAATCCACAATGTCCATCTAATAATTACACAATTTTATACTAGTAGCTTGTACATGCGTGTTTTTGTCTCGTAGGTCTAACCTGTACTTGAAAATACCACTAAAACATGAGGATGTAACAAACATATTTAGCCCAGGAATATGAAATTTTATAATCTTTTTTCAAATATTATTTTCGAGTTGCTATAAGAAACTTTTATTCATGGTTTTAACAGCACAATGTGGTTATTCTTTCACTAAGCTTTCTAAACGTCGGAATGGTATAAGTTTATTATTACTAATTTTACAGATAAGATCAGTCTGGTAGACCCATTTTTGGGTCCCCTGGTGGGACAGAGATAAGTCTTCGAACTTATAATGCTAAAATTAGGGGTTCGATTCCCCTTGGTGGACACAACAGATAGCCCGATGTGGCTTTGCTATAAAAAATTACCAGGTGGTTAGGACGCTCGATATGCAATTTGCGGGTCACGGGATCAAAAACTGTCGCCGAACTCTCTCACTATTCGTTAGTAAAGAGTAGTCCAAGATTTGACTGTGGGTGATGTTAACTAGCTGCCTTCCATTCAGTCTATCACTTCAAAATTAGAATAGCTAACGCAGATAGCCCTCGATTAGCATTGCGTGAAATTCACCAATAACAAGACTCATTTATCATTTAACTCTTGCGCTCACTTTTTTATCACCACTAAGCGCTAGATAAAATGTTATCATTTGTTTCTTTGTAAGGGTTCGAGTTAATAAGAATAAAAACATTACAAACGAAGATCTGAGCTCAAGTCAACGTAATATAGAATGTCAACAATTACCGACATCCAAAACACAAGTGTGATAAAATAAAACAGATCAAGTGAATAAAACCAAGGAAATATTTTTAAATATTGTTTCAATCAAATGGCTGAAGCAATGTTCGACATATATTTTTATAATGAAGTAATACAGATACGTGTAAACGTGTGACTTTTCTAGAAGTATAACAAACTGTTGTTCAGAATAATAACCCTTAAGTTTATCTATGCGCTATTGATAACATTTAACTAAAAATAACTAAAACAAATAATTGATAGACCAGCGGTGATGTATTGTTGTGGATTATTTGGATCCCAACTCATTGAAATCCTAACACAATTGCGGAGGGGGACCGAACCAAAAGGGAACCCGAAGGGCCTGACAAACATAAAAATTGTAGTTACGCCATTGCCTAAGCTTCTTTTTTATTCATATTTTATCAATTTTTACCCATATTTTGAAAACATGGGAAAATGTATTACCGTTGTTAATCGGTGCGATACTTTGAGATGTGCATGGCCAAGTGGCTAACATGCCCCCATCTGTGATTCCGATGATTCAGGGTTCACAGTCAGTTCCCGCAAAAACGTATTCAGCACTGTGTTGTAAGAATGACAATCAAATCCCCCTATTCGGTCAGGGTTGGCAGTTGGTACTGTTAACTAGCTGCCTTCCCTCTAGTATATCAGTTTAGAATTACGAACGACTATGCGAAGATAGTCTTTATGTATCTTTGCGCGAAAATCTGATACATTGATACCGTTTTTTTTTTGTTTTCTTTTTGTCTTCGTGTATTCTTAAACAACAAATAATTTATATTACCTAGCCTCAAATGTATTGGATTCCTTAATACTATCAATACCATTAAGTCCCAGAATTACCTAACTCTCTTGCTGCATTCTTAACTAGATGCATTTTAAAATTAATTTTACTTTTTTTTTAAATAAGAAAAAGCCCGGCAAGGCCAGGTGGTTAGGGCGCTCGACTCGCAATCTGAGGGTTGCGGGTTCGAATCCCCGTCCCACCAAACACGCTCACCCTTTCAGCCGTGGAAGCGTTATAATGTGATAGTCAATCTCACTATTCGTTGGTAAAAGAATAGCCCAAAAGTTGGCGGTGGGTGGTGATGACTTGCTGCCTTCCCTCTAGTCTTTCACTGCTAAATTAGGGACGGCTAGCACAGATAGCCCTCGTGCAGCTTTGCGCGAAATTCACAACAATTTAAAATAAGAAAAATAATAATAGATTTAAAGTTGATATTTTTGGATTTTTTTTTTCTCAGAATTTTCTTGGAAAAAAACTCAAAATACTATCAATGCATAGTGGTCCTAATTTGAAATTAATAGATCTTAGTTGATAGTATTCGTTGTTGTTGTTGTCGAACAAATGCGTATTTCCGGTTTGAAATAGTCAAAGACTTTAGAAGCAAACATGATAAAAAATAAAATGTTAACGAAACTTTTAACCGTTGTTTCAAGCATAATAAGAAATAAACTTAAATATTTCATCCTAAAAACAGAATATGAAACAAGGAACATTTGATATATAAATGTTTAATAGCCTTTAATCTTTAAAGTTTTTATGTCATGTCTGCTTTTAAGGACCTTTCACACAGTAAATACTTAATACTTAGTTAGCAAAGATAGGCCCTACTCTAAATTCTTAATTAGGACATTTGGTTGAAATTCTTAATCTTTGGATTTTTTTTACCTTCTGATTGAAATATTTTTACGTGTTTTCATAGTTTTTTTTTTGCTGTTCAAACTGGAACTTCAACTTGTTATTATAACTGGTTCGTAAAATGACCCATATGAATTTTTCCTCTTTACCCAGCTTATTGTTTAAGAGTGATATTTTTGCTCTTTCCGGTCAAATTAATTGAGGAAACCAAAAGGCAGCCATACTAAGGTAGCCATATATAATGAGGATTAATAAATTCCTTTTGTGTTCTCGACTGAAAATACGAAAAATAAACATTGGTAACAAGCAAAATAATAACATATTTAGATCTTTATCACGAAGTTTCTTGCTCTAGTTTTTATTTATGCTTTACAACTTTGACTGCAAAGCCTATTTTCTATGAAAGACTATATTGTCTCAAGGAATGTTAAAGACCACTTTGGCATGAAATGTTTTAATAACTAAATACTACTCATTAGGCACGTTTTTGTTGTTGTTTTATTAACCCTCCGTTTACTGAGATAATGTCTTAATTCTTATCAGAGAGAAACGCGCAGAGTCGTAACAGTTTTCTACAATACACTAAAGTAATATCGGTCTTAGTTACTGACTATTAAACTTCATTACTGAAACTACCTTTTCGCTACATTATAGGATGTCTGATATGCAGGTTTAATAAACTGAAAACGACAAAATATTTCTTTTACTTACTGACACGGGATAATGGATATTTTTTGTTCAACAATACCCTGTTTTGTTGGAATATGAGTTGCAATGAAACGCCATTGCTTCTTGTTGTTGAGAGCAACTTTCGGAACAATCGTGTTCCCTTGACAGCAGGAGGAGGCTCCCTGGTCTTGAAATTTATCGCTAAATTCACTTTCTAGACCGACAGATCTTGTTGGCCTGTCTTTACTCTGAGGAGGTCCACCAATTAACTCTTCAGGCGGTTCCTGAAGCCCCTCTCGTTCGTCCACAGAAACTGAAGACGCATTAAAGTTTTCTCCCAGAATTTCTCTTAATACAGAAGTTACAGCATCTCTGTTGTTAGAAATTCAAGCATAAGTTCGAGTATTTCAAACACAACAACCGTCAATCTGTTGAATTAAACAGTGACAAAAGTTTGGAAAATTATAGTGTAAAGAGAACAAAAGGGAAACAATAATGCACTATGAAACTTCCGTTAAAAACTGATTATCCATTTGCAATGTGATGATGATATGTTATTTTGTTTTGCTAGTAAAAACAACTTATTTACTATTTTCAGTTAAATCTGCACGGTATGTACATATATATATATATATATGGATGTTATTTCAAGAACAAGAAAACTGATTTTTCTACCACATGAGGGAGCTTCTAAGTGAGGGAAAGCCAAATACATTATGAGAAGTATCTTACACCATTTCTCTCATTTGGCCCAAAGATGTGTATTTTTTAAAGTTCAAATGATAGTTTTTAAAATCAAGTACTGAAAATACTCGTGTGAAAATTTAAAGATTGTAGTTACAGTGAAAGTTCAAAGAATTTAGTTTGTTTAAGGGCTGTATTTACACATATTGGATTGAGCTTCTGGCGCCCTCTCATACCAAGTTTAAGAACTAAATGTAAATAGATCTGTCACTGAACGTATTCGCTCCTTTAGCCGTGAGAGTGTTCTAATGTGACATTCAATCTCAAATTTCGTTGGTACAAAGAGTAGCCCAAGAGTTGGCGGTGAGTGGTGTTGACTCTCTGCCTTCCCTTTAGTCTATCACTTCAAAATTAGAGACGGCTTGCGCAGATAGCCCTCGAGTAGCTTTGCACGAAATTTAATAAAAGAAGCAACGATCTTAGCGGCAGCTCCACACAACACCAAGCTTGATTTACATATTATTATATATAATTTTTATGAATTTTTATAGCTCTTCTTAACTACGAGAATTGCGTTAAAATATTTGATACCATGGATGAATTTTGACACATAGTTACCCCCCGATTTTAATTTTCGAACACAAAATAACTTCTTTCTTGAAAACTTTATTATTCAAATCACGACTTTATCCATAAATACTTGTAAAATCTTTAATTTAGATCACTGCAAGTTTTGGACAAATTAATTTTACATTATAACTTAAGATAGTTTTACTTCAAGATGAACATCTATAAGAAAACTCGAATCCTTTCTTTTTCAAAAACTATTTTTTATTTAACCGATTTCTAAGCATCACAGATAATCGTTCACAAAAAACAAACTAACAGTTCAAAGAAACATTGGCTAGACCCTAGAATATAAAAGCTGTATATACTCCCTCTCTTTGGGTCATCTTTTCTCAGTCGCGAACCTTTTTCTGGGTTTATTTTTCATTGTACAATCAGTTTTCTATAGGTACTGAATGAACTAACCATTTTTCTTACAAAGTATTAAACGTTTAATTTTTCTGGTGTTCAACTCCTGGAATATAAGCTTAAATGATTAGCAACACACAAGCGTAGCGTAAATGCGTCTACCGCGCGATTTTCTTTTTCAAAAAAACGAGAATTCCTTTTTGGTTATTGAATGTCACTGCAACGAATTTTGATGTATTTTTTTAATAAATGCTTAAAGGAACAATGTGAATATTTACACGCATTAAAAATATCAAATAGGAATTAACTTCTTACTTGGTTGAGGAATAAGCTTCTGAAGCAAATATATATTTATATAATATTATAAAAAGCTCTACCCAGTAAATAAACAATTATTTTAAGCTAGCCAATGGATCTTACGTTATAATTCTGAAAAACTGAAATGTTGTGAAAAATAAGACACTCTTATTATGTACTCCAACAAAGAAATGTATTAAAGAGTTTGAATTTGGTCATACTTTATTTGAAAAGAAAATATTTGTAATTAGAAGCTAAAAGCAGTTTTATAACATGCCCAATAGCAACTAGTATTTCTTTATAATGATCGATCAAACATAGATTTTCTAAAAGAATCTCTATGGATGTCCTGCGTGTTATCTTACATTGGATAGTTATCCACGTGCTCACAGTAAGTTGCTCCAGGTTTCGCACATGCTGGTCGCTGGCCGGGAGGGGCCGGAACGAAAGGATACTTATTCTTTTCATCACCATCCTGATCACACATTGAGAGTCTGAGAAAACTGCAGACAACCAAAATGGTCTCTAGTCGAGCGTGGAAGAAAATCATTTTTTCTTGATACAATTTAGCACTAGAAATCAAGCAAAAACAAATATTAACGTTTACATTTTGTTGTTAATGCGATCCCTTACTTACATTAATTTCTAATCTCTCCATTCCACATTTGCTTTTTACATTATTCGACATTTTAACTAAACTTATGTGGCTAATTATCAAACTGCTAAATAAACTATTGAACAGGATCACTGGTACTCTGTCGGAGTTTTAGGTGTGTGTCAAGCTGGTGTAAAATAACAGTATAAACCCTTGAATAAGATCACTGGTACTCTGTCGGACTTTCAGGTGTGTTTCTATCTGGTCTAAAATAACAGTATAAATCCTTGAACAAGATTACTGGTACTCTGCCGGAGTTTTAGGTGTGTTTCTATCTGGTGTAAAATAACAGTATAAACCCTTGAACAAGATCATTGGTACGCTGCCGGAGTTTTAGGTGTGTTTCTATCTGGTGTAAAATAACAGTATAAACCCTTGAACAAGATCATTGGTACGCTGCCGGAGTTTTAGGTGTGTTTCTAGGTGGTGTAAAATAACAGTATAAATCCTTGAACAAGATTACTGGTACTCTGTCGGACTTTTAGGTGTGTTTCTATCTGGTGTAAAATAACAGTATAAACCCTTGAACAAGATCATTGGTACGCTGCCGGAGTTTTAGGTGTGTTTCTAGGTGGTGTAAAATAAAGAACTCGATCTTTTGTGTTTAAAGAAATAACATTCATATTTTAACTGCTAGAAAGTCACAAGTAACCGATATTTGAAAATTAAAGCTGACGTGACACCAAAGAGTTTAACCGTAATTGCTTCATTTTATTTTATTTTTGTTTGTGAAAAATAACAACGTTCATAAAATAGTGTATTATCTCTATATTTGAATTTCCAAATTTCCCATGCATATATTAAGCAGCAACTCAAAGGAATTCGTCGAATTTAGAATTAGACAGTAAAAGGTTGAAGTCGTTTTTATTAGTGGAAATGTTTTTTCAACAATCACAAAGATTAACAATTATTTCACGCAAAAATTAATGATCGTGTTTTAAGCGAAGCTAAATTTTTATAAACACTTCAAAGATCTGTTTTCTAAATAAACTTAACTCATCTTAAGTCTTACTAAAAAAAAAAAATACTATTTACAGAAATTACAAAATAAAATTATTTCTTCGAAATAAAAAAAAATGTCAAACTTGTTTAAAATCTGACTGGCGTATTATCTTGATCCTGTGTTAAAACTTCCGATATAAAGACATCTTATTTTCAACTGCACGTTTGGCTGAAAATGTAAAATGACTAACAATCTAACGTTTCTATTAAAATACTTTCTGAAGAAAGATACTGTTATGTATGCATCCGTTCAACTCAACATGTTTAAAAGTTTGCATACATCTGTTAGACATTTTATATCTATACGTAACTTTGAAAAGAAAGTAAGCTCTCACAAAAACCACTCATAGTTTCTATAAACACGAAAATCCCTCTGAATGAATAATAACCAATAATAATGGCTGATTGTTTGTTTTTTTAATTTCGCGCAAAGCTACACAAGGGCTATCTACGCTAGCCGTCCCTAATTTAGCAGTGGGAAGGCAGCTAGTCATCACCACCCACCGCCAACTTTTGGGCTACTCTTTTACCAACGAATAGTGGGATTGACCGTAACTTTATAACGCCCCCACGGCTGAAAGGGCGAGCATGTTTGGTGTGACGGAGATTCGAACCCGCGACCCTAAGATTGCGAGTCGATCGCCCTAACCACCTGGCAATGCCGGTGAAAAGATTAGGTGAAAAGTTTCCTGATGACACGCATTATTTCAGGTACACTAACAAACTGTCTGAGAATAATAGATTCATTTGTTTGAGACGTTTCTTTTAATCACTTGATTAATAATTTTGGTTTTATGTGCCAAAACAATTTACTACAAATAAAGTTAAATTATAAAGTTGTTAAAACACATATGAGACTTCCATGAATATCCTTTCTTTACATAGAATCTTTACATTCGTAATCTAAGTTAGGTATGAAAAACGAGAAGCAATGGATGAATAAATTAAGTCTCAGTAAAGTAGCAAAGAGTTCTGGGTTAATGGCAGTGTACTGTTAACAATAGCAAAATTAAATGATTGACACCAAAAAACATTGAAAACGATTACGTGCATGCGTTTATATTCTTATTTGCTGTGTTATAAACTAAAACCAGCAAGTTCTTTCTACAAAATTGAGAGCATATTTACTCTGACAGGGAAAAAAAAGTTTTCACCAGAATTTTCAGTCCACACGTGCACATTTTTATTGCCGCGAAAAGTCACAAAGTGGGATTTGTTCCAACTTTAATCATCCTTTGGGATTACACATGTACATAATTCCAGAGAATCACACTTCTGTCGATTGTATATGAACTCGTAAAAAAACAAAAACGAATGATTAAGATTAGAGTTTGGCACTAAGGATAAAGTGAATGTAGATGTACATAAAGCAAACCGTATAAATTAATGTAGTTCAGTTAGTCGTTACTGTAACGGTTACAGTGTAGTTCAGTTAGTCGTTACTGTAACGGTTACAGTGTAGTTCAGTTAGTCGTTACTGTAACGGTTACAGTGTAGTCCAGTTAGTCGTTACTGTAACGGTTACAGTGTAGTCCAGTTAGTCGTTACTGTAACGGTTACAGTGTAGTTCAGTTAGTCGTTACTGTAACGGTTACATTGTAGTTCAGTTAGTCGTTACTGTAACGGTTACAGTGTAGTTCAGTTAGTCGTTACTGTAACGGTTACAGTGTAGTTCAGTTAGTCGTTACTGTAACGGTTACAGTGTAGTTCAGTTAGTCGTTACTGTAATGGTTACAGTGTAGTCCAGTTAGTCGTTACTGTAAGGGTCACAGTGTAGTTCAGTTAGTCGTTACTGTAACGGTTACAGTGTAGTTCAGTTAGTCGTTACTCTAATGGTTACAGTATAGTCCAGTTAGTCGTTACTGTAGCGGTTACAGTGTAGTTCATTTAGTCGTTACTGTAACGGTTACAGTGTAGTCCAGTTAGTCGTTACTGTAAGGGTCACAGTGTAGTCCAGTTAGTCGTTACTGTAACGGTACAGTGTAGTTCAGTTAGTCGTTACTGTAACGGTTACAGTGTAGTTCAGTTAGTCGTTACTGTAACGGTTATAGTGTAGTTCAGTTAGTCGTTACTCTAATGGTTACAGTATAGTCCAGTTAGTCGTTACTGTAACTGTTACAGTGTAGTTCAGTTAGCCGTCACTGTAACTGTTACAGTGTAGTCCAGTTAATCGTTACTGTAACTGTTACTGTGTAGTTCAGTTAGCCGTCACTGTAACGGTTACAGTATATTTCAGTTAGTCGTTACTGTAGCGGTTACAGTGTAGTTCAGTTAGTCGTTACTGTAACGGTTACAGTGTAGTTCAGTTAGTCGTTACTGTAATGGTCACAGTGTAGTTCAGTTACTCCTTACAGTAATGGTCACAGTGTAGTCCAGTTACTCCTTACAGTAATGGTCACAGTGTAGTTCAGTTAGTCGTTACTGTAACGGTTACAGTGTAGTTTAGTTAGTCGTTACTGTAATGGTCACAGTGTAGTCCAGTTATTCCTTACAGTAATGGTCACAGTGTGGTCCAGTTACTCCTTACAGTAATGGTCACAGTATAGTCCAGTTAATCGTTACAGTAATGGTCACAGTGTAGCTCAGTTACTCATTACAGTAATAGTCACAGTGTAGCTCAGTTACTCATTACAGTAATAGTCACAGTGTAGTTCAGTTACTCATTACAGTAATGGTCACAGTGTAGTTCAGTTACTCATTACAGTAATTGTCACAGTGTAGTTTAGTTACGCATTACAGTAATGGTCATATCATTGATATGTTTACTTTGTAAATAACTTTAGTAGTTACCTAATTAATAATCGCATGTTTATTTTTGTTTTTACTTTAAGTAAACACTCGAATATTTTAAGAATTTTTATATGTTATAAAGTTAGGCTTTTTGGTTGACCACGTAAAACTGTTAACATATTTAACTCATTAAAACTACAAGTTGACAGAGCCTGACGGTTAAAGCGCTCAACTCGCAATCTGCGAGTCTCGTATTTGAATCTTATTACCGAATATGCTCGCCCTTTCAACGATGGGGAGTTATAATTAACGGCCAATCCTACTAATCGTTGGTAAAGAATAGTCCAAGATTTGGCGGTCGATGGTGTTGACTAGCTTCCTTCCCTCTATCACTACAAAATTATGGACGGCTAGCGCATGTAACCCTCGAGTAATTTTGCGTGAAATTCAAAAATATACAAAACTGAAAGTAAGTTTAATTTTTTGTTAACCAATTAAAATTATTGGTAGGTTTAATCATCAATTTGACCAATTACGTCAATTTTTTCTGAATTTTTTAAAGTTAATGAAACGTAACTTTTAGAAAATGAATTAGTGATTGAACTATCGCGTTGTAATAATTTACTGGTGTAATTTACGTGGATTTTTTTAACTAAAGGACCAAGCACGACCTAATGGTTAGGGTGTCATACTGTGAATTCGATGGTCTATGGTTCGTGTCCATTGGCCACAAAATCGCATTCTGCACTTATAGACAGTGGTGCATTATAAGACTGATGTGCCTCTAGTATACCAGTTCGAAATTAGGGGCTACAATAGATAACCTTGTGCAGCTTTGAGAAAAAGTCCGAAACAAACAGACAACATGGTCTTTTAAGAAATGGCTCTAAGTAGCCGTTGAAGTCTAAGAGGTTCGTAAGTGTATGAAGTAGAGATAAGATTGTGATGTGAAAAATACATTCATATGTGGTTCATGATACTAATATTACTAGAAAGCATTATATGGATAGTAGCACAAAAGAAACATATCATCGTAGGCCCATACGTAAGTTTCACATTCACGCTGCAAAGTTAAACTCAGTTTACCATATAAGCAGCATTTTACAAGCCTAATGGTTTTTTGCTGTCGCTGGCTACCTAGCTTCTTTCAAATTTTCGGCTAAGTATGAAATATTTTTATATCTG